TTCGTCGAAGCGGAAAGTGAGGTTATCCTTTGACTGTAAGTACAGGACAAAGTTCTTTGAAGCAATTTGAAAGGGCTTTCGGTTGTGTTGAGGACTCTGTATTCTGCCGCGTGAGGAAGAACGCCGTATGAAAATTCGAGGGTTGCCGAATTTCCTCCGATAAAATATTCATTTTTGAGGGTGTCTTGGATAATTTTTCTTGAATTTTTCCGGTAACGTTAATCCCGAGTGTCTCCAAGTCCGGAAATAGTACTGATTTTTCAAAGGCGGTCCGGAATTATTGAAAAAGTGCGGAAATTCCGCAAGAAAGTCCGGAATTTTTTTCATTTTTTGTCATTTTTGTCGCAATTTGAGCGAGAAATTCTGATTTTTGAAATTTTTCGAATTTCGTTACTTAGAGGTACTGAAAAAGAACTGATTATTCCCGCTGAGAAGGTACTGAATTTCTTGGGAATGTACTGAAAAAGTACTGTAAATATATTGATTTTTGGCCAGCCTGTTTTAGTAGACACCCTGTAATTACGATCTGATTGCAAATAAAATCCTCCAAAAAAATGCGAAGGAAAATATCCCCAAATTTCCGTGGGAATTAATATTTTATTAAAGGAAAGTTGGCAACGTTTGAAGGCTCATACGGCGCTTTACCTTAGCAGGCTGTATTGTTTTCGAGCTTTACCGAGTTTATTTCGTGGAATTCCTCCGATCGGAAGTGAGCCCGGGCCTGTCGTTCGAGATGAGGATTTCTCGATGAAGCGCTCTCAACTCCTCCCGCACGATTTTAGTATTTATTAATGTCGTTATTTTTGAAGCGTGCCGTGAGTGGAGCAAGGAAAAAAATGCCTCTTCTATCAGGCTCCATTTTTAGCTCTACGGGTCGACGATTCTTCAAGAGGGAATTTAATTTCTCTCCTATCCTTTTCTCGATGTTTTCAGTGAACTTCCCGTCCCTCTTTTTACGAACTCTTCCGGTTCTACGTCATGAATGTGTTAAAGATTTTTCTGTCCGGAAACAGTTCCATAAAGCCGTTCGGACTGGACTTAAGTCCTGTTCCATACGATATTTTATAGAGGTTAGGCAGGAGTAGGACAAATCTAGGCCAGGCGGCTGTTTTTAAAAACTCATAGAATTACCTTGCTGACGAACGTATGGTTTTGCAAGGGTAAGGGGAAAGCTATGGAATTGAGAAGAACACGGAGGAAAAGCATATTTTTCGAGGACTTTTTTCACGCGAAATGGCGTAAAGTGAATCAAAGCTTATTCTTATTGTACTTTCTGGGGAATATTGTAGTCCACTTTGGTGCCTCTGTCTTCAACTACAGGACAAAATATCAAGAAAATGTATATTTCTAATGTACATGTATAAAAAAAAGTTTCCTAGATACAGAGTCTAGACTTTTAAAAAAATTTGACAGTAAAAAATACTCTTGATCAATCGGATTTTTGCTGGAATCAACAGGAAATCCGCTCAAATTGGCTCGAGGCTTGGCTCTCGAATCAATCAAAAATCTGACTGGACCAAGAGTGGGTTTTTTTGTCAATTTTTTTAAGCGTCGGGACTCAGGATCCAATAAACTTTTTTTTTTCAGTGTTTCTCCTCCGAACCCCTAAGAAAAATCTAAGTTTTTTCAGAGAATCGAGAGGAAAGTGATGAAAATTCCTGGGTTTTATCGAGGCGTTTCTTCGTGATCATGATGAATGAAAGACTCAGGACACGGATGATAGAGAGTTAATGAAGTCTCAATTATATGATAGGTCGTACCAATTCTGCCCGATGTCCAGAAATCTCTCTTCAATGAGTTATGATTAGGGACTGATGTTAAGTCGTAAGGGAAAACGCCGTATGATCCTTTAGACGGTGCCAAATTTCCCCCGATAAAATATTTATTTTTGAAGAAAGTTATCTTTTTTTGAACCGAGTTTAACAGAAAGGAACCAAGCCACGTCAGCCATTGCCAAGTTTAACTGGGCAATTATTTTTTTTTACGAGAGAATATTAGTTCGGATTTCTTTGAAAATTTTAAGGAATTTGCTTCGTACCATGGAGAATTTTCACTGAAATTTGCACGAAAATCCGCACAACCGTTTTCATGTAAAAAATTAAATTGCCCGATTAAATTTGGCAACAGTTGATGTGGCTTGGTTTCTTTCTGTTTAACGCGGTCCATTTTTCCTTGAAATTTTCAGTTATTATGGATTAAATTGCGAACAAAATAGTTTGAAAAATTGGAAGAAAATTACCCAGAATTTTCCCGGTAAATTAGGTTTTTATCGAAGGGAATATGGCAACGTCTGACGGCTCATACGGTGTTATTCCCAAGCACGGCAGCACGATTCAATTCACCCAGGGGTGGAGAAGAGGAAACGAACACGGCCACAAACTTTTTGCCATCTGTGCGTTACGCGTTGCGCCCCTCCCCCTCACGCACTCGTCATTGGGCTCCACCGGGGAACTTGCAACCCGCGCCGTTGCACCGCGATGCACCTTTTCATTCACGCTTGTTTTAACATTCGAGGGCTTGTCGACGTCTGCTTGGCGTTGCCGTGTGGGTTGAAAATCTTGGAATTGCGAGTCATTGCTACAAGGAATTTCCTTTGTCAAAGAGCTGAATGACATACGAGCTCATAATGAAGTTCACACCACCTTAACAACTATTTTTCTTCTCGTGATAGCTAGTGCTTGTAGAGATTACAAAAAGAATATCTCTGAAGCTCTTTTCCTTGTTCTAAGGAATAAATTCCTTGTTGAAAGCAATCATTATCACGGCAAGAAAAAGTACTGTCGAGGTAACGAAAGTGTATGATGTGTTCGCACGTTTCTCTGCTCTTTTGCGTCAAGGGCGATTTTCCTCGCAGTAATGGTTAACGTTAACTTTTGACTAACCGTGCAAGACAAATAAAATATAATCCTAAGAATCTTGAAAATGAAGACATAGAAACCCTGAATAATGGATTTTATAGTTTCTCGCTGAAAAAAATATTTATCAAAGGGTCCATGGATTCGATCGGCGAATTATTTTAAAAAAACTGTCGATTCGATCGACATGCACCAATCGACGTAATTCGATCGATTTATGGGGTTGTCGATCGACTCTCAGGTTATGTCGGACGATTCACGAGTTTGTGAATCGATTTACGGAGTTGTTGATCGATCCACGGTTGTCAATCAAATCACGTCAATCTGCAGTTTATGCTTTCAATTTTCGTTTACTGGAAAAAAAAACACATAGGATCTAGAGTCTAGACTCTTGAAAACATTGAAGAGAAAAAATACTTTTGATTCAATCGAATTTTTGCTTGAATCAAAACGAAATCCGCTTAAATTATGAGGCTTGGTTCTTGACTTAAGCTAGATTCTGATTGAATCAAGAGTACTTTTTCTTGTCGATGTTTTTAAGAGTCAGGACTCTAGATCCAATGTGCTTTTTTTTTTTTCCAGTGTTCGATCTATATCCATCGAATCCATCCTCTCCTTATTTACGATGGTCCGAAAAACGGTTTGGCAGCGGCGAGGAAAACTGCAGTGCAATGTGCATCGCGGTCTCCCACGCTCGCTCGCGGAATCAACC